AAATAAAGCTCTCAGTAAGTGGCTATGTAACAAAATGGTATCGCAAGCCAAGTAGTAAAAACATTCTCGTTCACTGCCTCTCCTCTCACTCCTCTTCACACATGAAAAAAGCACTTATCAAAAACATGTATCGTACGGCTAAGAATGTGTGTACAGGAGAAGAGGAAAGGAAGAAATCGCGAAACCTGGCACGAAAAATTGCCATTTCCAATGGCTACGAAGTAGAAGCCACTCGGGTTAGAGGAAAACATTGGGTAGTTTCCCAAAATAATATTTCAGACGAAAGTAGGATCCCCTTTAAGCTGCCCTTCATATCAAATGAAGTAAGTCACGCCATTAAAAAGTGCTGAAGAAAAAATGGTCTTGAAAATTATGNAATCGCGAAACCTGGCACGAAAAATTGCCATTTCCAATGGCTACGAAGTAGAAGCCACTCGGGTTAGAGGAAAACATTGGGTAGTTTCCCAAAATAATATTTCAGACGAAAGTAGGATCCCCTTTAAGCTGCCCTTCATATCAAATGAAGTAAGTCACGCCATTAAAAAGTGCTGAAGAAAAAATGGTCTTGAAAATTATGTAACGATTGTTGACATCCCACCCAATACCCTACGCCGCCAGTTAGTTCGAAACCGTCTCTATGATCGTTTGTGCAACTCAGAAAACTGTATGATCTGTCCTGACGGGAGAGACGGGGATTGGATGAGTTTAGGTACAATATACTTGATCTCATGTAATGCATGCGGCGAGGAATATATCGGGGGAACGGGCAGACCACTTTGTGTCCACATAAAAGAACATCTAGATGGAATAGCTAAAATCCGTCTAAACACCCCTCTAGGTACGCATAGGGCACAAAAGCACAACGGCGATGATTTTGAAGTGAATGTGCGGATCCTAGCGAGGAATCAAAAACATCAACGCGCAAAACTCTTGAGGCGTTTTGGATAAATTTCAAAAATCCAAAGATAAGCCGGAAGGACGAATGCCTCACTATCACGCGTGACCTGGCGCNAGACGGGGATTGCATGAGTTTAGGTATAATATACTTGATCTCATGTAATGCATGCGGCGAGGAATATATCGGGGGAACGGGCAGACCACTTTGTGTCCACATAAAAGAACATCTAGATGGAATAGCTAAAATCCGTCTAAACACCCCTCTAGGTACGCATAGGGCACAAAAGCACAACGGCGATGATTTTGAAGTGAATGTGCGGATCCTAGCGAGGAATCAAAAACATCAACGCGCAAAACTCTTGAGGCGTTTTGGATAAATTTCAAAAATCCAAAGATAAGCCGGAAGGACGAATGCCTCACTATCACGCGTGACCTGGCGCCCTGTTTCAAAGTGATATTTTGACCCCGGGGCGTGTCTTGCTCGCGACTCCACGTGAACTACGTGTGGGCCAGTCCCGCACGTAACATCACGGTGAGTGGCTTTTCTGTTCAATATGACGCCTATTTGAAAGCTTGATCTTCATTAATACTTTAACCTTCTTTTCCACCGAATAATAAAAAGTATTCTAACATAAAATACGTCCAGGCTCTGAGGAAGGCGAAGTCGCCGAAACGTCAGCCATCGATCAATAACATCAAAAACAACGAGAAGGACAACGAAGATCTGTACCAACCTCGCGTCAGCTTAAGAAGATCAGTTTATAAGATCACATAAATAAATATATCAACTATCTATGCCGAGGTTTATAGAAAGTCGGCCTTTCGAGTTATATATATATACACATATAGACATATATATATATGTGTATATATGTGTATATATATGCGACACACACGTGGGATCGATCCCCGCGCCCATGGCTCACCAAGCGTTCCATTGGGCCGGGGTCGGCAAATTGGTACCAGACTTGTCTGGGAGGATAGTGGCACTGGCTTGATACATCGGTAGGCCACTGTGAGTCATTGTAAAGGCCGGATGTGCATTCAATCACCTCCAAAGACACTGAATGAAGTCGAACGCATGGCGCATCCCTTAGGGATTGATCAATGCCGAGAGCTTTGTTCTTTATCCTTTATACATATTACATATTACATATTACATACATATACATATATATATATATATATATATATATTATACTGCACCAAACATACTGCGGCATTTTTCCAAGTTTCGAAAATTGACCATAAGCCGTTGGGGATTGAACTCTTTGAAATTTCAGGTACAGCAGATATATGTCAATCACGCTCAGAACTCTTCTCGATAGCACTGAGCGAAAGCTATGCTAGTCGTGTTCCACTGGCGACTAGAGCGTACTAGGAAACTCTAGTATGCGGCGTGCTAGTGCACATCGCTCACTCTCGAAGCACTCATTGTCAAAATAAGGACGAGTTAAGATAAAGAGGTGCGGGATAGGCCTCGCGACGTTAAGGGAACTAAGATGAGCCCGCAAATTTGCAATGCATTTTTCGATTTGCTGAAGCAGTAAACATGGAATTGCCGTCCACTTATGGCTCTAAGCTGGGCCACAAATCCTTGTAAAATGACTTTCCATCGAGTAAAGGTCTTCATTATGGCTTACTGCAATACTTCCGTTCCTTTATGACATTAAATCTAAGAGAGATTCCCATAGTTGTTTTTTTATTGTTGCTGATTCTTCAAGTTTTTATTCATCGTCTTAGTCTTCATTAGGAACAGTATAGATTGTGTACTTGGACGTCTGAACACATAATACTTCAAAGTTTTCGTGCTGACGTCAGCGTGTATGCTGTGGCACAAACTTTCCTAAGCGTTTCAGAATTTCAAGCAATGGTTGTGCTGCAAGTGGCAATACTATCATGAGATGGCGATTGAGCTACTTCCTCGCAGTCCTGTTCGCGGCTCTTCTAATGACAGCAGATGCTCGAGCAGTACTGAACGAAGATCATGTCGTGCACACCTTGCTGGGTACCATCAGAGGAGTTCCACTGGTTGGTTTCTATCGCAAATTCAAGCCGTCGAACATTTCGATCACCTTATTTCGGTTATTTTTAACAAAATCAGTTCGGCGTTTAGCTTGGAATGATTGTTCCTAGGTACACAAGTACTTTAGTTGATATTGGAAATTTTGTTCCTCTTCTTTTTTAATCACAAAAACAGCTTCCTAAATCTCCAGACATTCCAAAACGAACGGGTTTCGGCGTTTCTGGGTGTACCGTATGCCCGTCCACCAGTTGGAGTTCGGCGATTCGCCAAGCCTGAGATGGTGCAACCTTGGAGTGGTGAGTCTGACCAGGAATCCACTTTCTCATGATGGCGACAATTTCTCTATTTGCTGTAACTTCCACACATTTTGTTTTATAGCTAAGCTCATTTCAACCGTGTAGGCGGTTTCTTGATTCGAATTCATCGTAAAAATTATGCAAATTTCGTGTTCTTTCCATAATATTAAATGATCCGTGACGCCAAATTCATAGGATTGGCGTTGATGCATTCGAAACGCGAAATGAGTTTTCAAGCGTGAACTAAATACTTCCGCAATTCAACCGTTGAGGCGTTCGAATGGAGTGGATGGCGAAAATCAAATGATTTTCTATGTCCTCTTAAACTTCCAGAAATGAAATTGCATTACTGATGGCACGGGTAGATGGAAAAGTAGCTGAGGCAAAGACGAAACGAAAGATGCGCATGGCGTGGTGGTGAACGCGGCAGCCTCCGGAAAGCGTAATAACGTGTTCGATTCCCACACCGTACACCTACGCTCCAAGTGATTGTGCTTTTCTGTATCTCACCTTCTTCGACAGAATGGCTGCTATGCAGTCAAACATCGAAATGCTGAAAAGTGAGGAGTTGTACGAAGTTCTCGGGAAGTATAGTAGTTTTTTCAAGCAACATAAAATTCAGAAGCAGAACAGAGAGAAAGGAGAGTAGCTGCGATGACCGACTTTCTATTAACCTCGGCATGTATTAAAGGAGTATTAGTGGAATTGAAAAGGCGCGGAAAAGAGAGTTTATTGATTGAAATGAAGACCGTTTGAATCTCAACAGTTTCATTCAAGTGCCTACGAGCTCATATATTCCTCACGATGAAATTCAAAACCTATAGAGCTCGTGATTTTCTGAAGGCATTTCTAACTGTGGTTTGGCTGTTGATGACCTTTCAGTGGTTGTAGGAGTGCTTTAAGAAAGTCTGAATAATCGCATTGCAGTCAAGAAACAGTTCTCTTTGCTGCGCAAAAGGGTGCAGAATAATTTTCGCAACGACAATCGTTTTGCTTTTTGCTTACAACCTGTGAGGCCTGTTCATCCTGCTTTTTGAAATTCTCTTCACAAGCTGCAGAGAGTGGATAGCACAGTGGTAGTGATGTCCGGTATCACGAGCATGTTGCTAGTTCGATTCCGCTCGATGCCATCCAAGCCTCTCATCCTTCCGAGGTCGGGAAATTGGTACCGTACTTGTCTGGAAATAAAATCACTCTCTGCAAACCAACTGGGAACGTTCCATCTCGACTATCTCAGAACTCTAGGGAGAATCGCTCGATCAGCATTCTACAACATTCAACATGAAATGGAAATCCTCAAGCAGCAACCGAAGCCACACGTTGTAAGATCTTCGTGGACAATGGATACGTGAAAGTGAATGTGAGAAGTGCTGGAATCCGTATAGCAGGTGTAAAAACGGATTAAACAAAATAAAACGACCACAACGTTGCTGAGATATTTGCAAAACTCTGGGCCGCAGGTGTCTATGGTGGGGAACGAACGCGCTATTGTCCTTTCCGGGGAGTAACGCGTTCA